TATTAAGGTCTTAAGTTAATATTAATGATAATTTACATAGTAGTTTTGATTATTAATAAGTTTTGTTTGCATATTTACATTATTTATGTAAAACGATATTTGTTGCAATGTATCGCAAGTGTAATCACATAATTGATTTTAGTTGCAACTATATTTTATATATTTCTAAATTAATTTAATATAGTTCAAAATTACAAGGAAATTTAATAATTTGTATTTAATAATGTTGTTCTATTGATTTTAGCAAATTTGGTTTGAATAAAATTTATTCAATACATCGCAATAAGAGTGATTGTGCATCCCTGCGTTTATATGTCTATCGGAATATACAAATCAAAACAAAACAGAGCAAGAAGAAGCAAAGTGCATTTAATGCAAATTTATGCTGCTAAATAGTAAGTATATGTGTTAATAAAAATATATATTAAATTAACTATTAATATAATTAATTACTGTCTTTTTATATATTTACATCCGCCGCCGTACAAAATACGAGGGAATGTTTTAATGAAGACTGAAAAGGTGCATATATAGCAAGCTGGCTAGCAGGTAAAGTGAATTATACAGAAGTGAATAAAAGTGTTGATAATTTACTAATACTTGTTTTTTCTTTGCAGGAATCGTCCATCGATGTAAGAGGAATTAGCCAAGAAGACTAGCTCTCCAAAAAGTGGTTGATTAAKTTAGTTTTAAGTACGTCTTAATTGCRGTTGTAGACGAGCGCGCCATATGTTTGCTGTGCGTATGTACATACGTGCAATAATAAAGTTTAATTGATATAAACGACAAATTTGTGATTATTAGTTAGCTGAGTTTGAATTTTAGCATATCTGGCTATTAGTTAGTAGAGCACATTAGAGTGCTCATATGGGCCAAATCTGGCTAATAAGCAAGTCGTAAGGGTGGTCATCATTTCAATGAGCTTGTCAATTTTGGCCTCTAGTCTAGAGTTGAATTGTGTTGGCATAACTGGCACGTTAATGTTTCTAGGTTGATCGAGATTTCGAGGATATCCCACCCCGTTATTAGGATGCGTCGGCCCAGATACATTAGGAGGGCGCCTACGACGCGAACTCAAGCTGCGGCTTCTATTGGGCTGCGCTGGCCGTTGGGCACTTGCTTGCCTAGGCAATTGCGCTTGTTGTTGTTGTTGCTGTTGGGCACGCCTTGTGGCATTCTGCCTTGACTGACGTTGCTGACTTTTGTTGACTGCAGGCGCGGCTGGCTGATGTGATTGAAGACCAGCCCGGAGGGCTGCTGCATAGCTGGGCCCAGCGTTAGCCGTTTGTGGTCGTTGCTGAGGGGGGACTTGGGGAAAGAGTTTTGGCACATTTGCTCTACTGCCTCGAGCAGTTGTAGTGGCGGCAGGCTTGGTGATACTGCGTATAATCTTCGCAAGCTGCATCGTGCTGTCACTCTCTCTTTTCTTGCAGGCCTCTTTGTACGAAGGGCAGCCTCGATAGCTAGCAGCGTGTGGGCCCGAGCAGTTGGCACACTTGGCTGCAGATTTGTCGCCTTTTTGCTTGCCACAGTCAGTGGAGGCGTGATTTTGGCCACATTTAACGCAAGCAAAAGGGCGACGACAATAGTTCTTTGTATGCCCGAACTTTTGGCATCTATGGCATTGAGCAACTTCATTTGATTTATATGGCCTCTCAACTACAACTCGTTGATTGCCAATAGCAGTAACTTGCAGCAACTCAGCATTATTGTCACTGGCGACCAACTCGACCTCAAAGAGATCGAGTGGCTCCTTTGAAAAGCGAGATTTGATGCATCTTAAGAAGCGAACTTGGTGCCCTAATTTGGCCAAGTGCTCGCGGATCCAGTGGTCCGGAGTGGTATGATGAAGATGACGAATGATTGCTCTAAACCCACGCTCGCATTTTAATTGAAAAGTRAAGTTTTCTACTTTATTATCGTCTAGGTACTTTACCAGCTTACGATGAGTAGCGA